CAATGCTTGTGCGCTTTCTTTTAAGTAGTTTAGCTGTGGCTGTGCCACTTCTCTTGAGGTTAACCTGTTTATGTTCATTAATAGGGGGTGAGGATTTACCATCACGATAACTTGGCAGTCTTGTCATCAATGACCAGTTTTTCCCACCAAATACCTAATCACCATTAAGAGAATAATCTAGGTTAGGTTATCGATTTGAATTAACAGTATTGTGTTATTAATATCTCCAATTCACCTTTTTGTGGTGTTTCCACACATATCAATGAAGCATTGTTCTGATTAATAGCATGGCAGCAGCTCACCTGGAAACAGAAAAGCTACATTTGGCTGTAGTGCTTTCAATACTTACAATACTTATAATATCAAAGTACAAAACAAAAATGTTTACTTCCAGACTAAACAAAAGGCAAAGTCTTTATAAAAAAAAAAATTAATTATATAATCTTTTTTGTTGTGTCGTAAATTTCTCTTATCCTATTTTTTCCTGGAAATATTCAAGTTTTGATTTCTAACTTTTATAGTTTTATCATTCCTAGTCGTGTTTTAATTTGTATGTCTTAGCTTTAATTCTTGTGCCATATTGAAAAAAAAAGTTAAACAAATAAAATTGCAAAATTAGTTGTCATTGATTTTCACAACACCTTAGTCCCTGTCAGTTAACAAATTTAAGATGTATAGTTTTGTTTATAGTTACCGGTATACAGTTGGAACATAAACATGTCAGAGATATGGATCCAGAAGCTGATACTTGATTATGATGATTTTTTAACATTAAAATGGTTGACATTAATTCATCTTGTATCTGATTGTCAAACAAGTACTTGTCCATATGGAGCGAAATTGTCCTGGAACAGCATTAATTAAAGCAAAATGACCACCAGTTGGCCATTTTAAATAAATGTGTATATCTATGACATGGTTTATAATGAATATATAAAATGTTAACTAGAACCGCATTGATTAAGACAAAATGGCCATCAATATATTTGATTACATTTAAATTCACCATATTTCAAATAGTTATCAAAATATATTTTGTAGTTGGCAAAACAGCCATGTTTTGGTCTCCTACGAAATTGTCAGTTGATGAAGTGACAGTCTCTAATTGTGTGAATGAACCAATCAAATTGCAATCACATGGCTTTATCACATGGCTTCTGCCATATACATGTGACAAAGTCAAATACCTGGAACATACAAACCCTCATTTTGAAATATTAAAGTTGACAGTACCTTTATTGCATCAGTAGGATTAGGACCAATGTTTCCACCACTGTCATAAAATAATCTCAGATATTCCTTCTGCAGCCACTGTATTCTCCGATCAGCAAAGTGCTTTTGTTGATTCAGATTGGCCTTTATAAGTTTCTTTAATCCGTGATACCACAATGCTGATATGCACTTTGGTGCTACAAAATGCACCAGTTTGTTTTCAGCGATATTAGCGCCATAAAGAATGGAAAAACAATGATCTGTCCGATGTAAATCACTGAGAGTATGGCGGCGGGATACAGTGTGCAAATCAACCTCTTCACATCCCATGAAGACATCTTTCGCAAAAGTCAAATCAATGTATCCCTCCTCTAATCCATCTTGGAGCATATTTCCCGTTCTTTGGTATTTGTTTGCTGGCGTAGGAGAAGACGGTGATGATGGTGGTGTGATCAGATAATCTCCAGGTCTTGTCCACTGTAATATTGAATTGCACTGTTCCAGTTTCAAATGACACATGGCAGATCTTTCATTTTCTTGTGTCCAATGCACGCATAATGTTCCTCTATACAAACAGTGTAGAGAGTGCATGTCTAAACCGCTTAGCTTGGTCCATATCACTTGCACCTGATGACTCGGGCAATCAGACTGTGATATCGGCTCACAGCTTTCAATAAAATTATCATTCAGATCCACAGACGACTTGTCATCTCTAAATAAACAAACATATGATGCACAGTGTCATGAGAACTGTTCATAATTCTACTGACCTATAAAACTCTTCTTAGTTTTTATCACACATACATGTACTACCAGTATAAGGTTATTAACAAAATTTGGATTTATGTCCAAATACATGGTACAGCAAAAGGTACTGTCCTGGAAGTGTAGTGTAGTGTTGAGGACAAAGCCAAATCAGACAATGCAAAAGAAAATAAATGTTTGTATTTAGTTTATAATCTTATTATAAATTCTTTTTAACAGACATTGGGGAAAAAAAACGTCAGTGTAACCTTGGCTTTCATACTCAAACATGTTACATGCACCAACGAAAAGTGATCATTTCATACTCAATCGGACACTCAGAAAGACCATAGCTGTTTTCATATGCTAATATGCTACCACACAAGCTAGAAAGACTGTCTGGCACATGTATTTCACAAATGTCTATATAATGATACAAAGGGTGCATTTTATTAAATTATTACATACATAATAAGAAAAATTACATTTCTGATCAGAGTATGCACCATCTGAAAAATGTGGGTCAATCTTTTTTTTTATTTCTGTTGAAGCATTTATCAAAACTGCAAAATGTGTGTGCCATTTCATCAAAACAAAACAAAAATCGCCTTACTTTTTACAAATTTGATCTGAATTTTTGTTTTGTTTATTTTATGAGGTCTAATTAATGTCAAGCATGCAACCATGATAAATGAATGTAGTCAGAGCGCCCTCAACAAACTGATAGCAATATAACTTTGTTTTTTCTCTCCTTACCGAGCATCTATTTCTGTAATGGCAGTGTGTAGCGACTGTTGACATAGTTGTATATCATGTAGCACCCAATGGGCTTGTTTCACCTTGATTGTGTTTATGATTCCACCGACACCCACACGGGACAAGAATTTATCCTCTCCTCTATACTCTGAGATATACTACAAATATAATAAATTTATTAATATTAGATATGATGAAGTTGATGATGATTCATAATCTGTGCAAGAAATACAGCACTGTTACAGTTGTTTCTAACAATAGTCTATTTACTGTAAATTACATTACTTTCGCTATTTTCGCTGAAAGGGTGAATATTTAGAAATAAAACTTTAAAAAACTCCTCAAAATATGTGAAAATAAACCTTATACAAAACAGTCAAAAGCGTTTCCAGCGAAAATTTATTCCAGCTAAAAGAAAGTATTTTACAGTGTAACACTTTTGTCAGAAACAAAATTATTAAAGGCTTTTAAAGGGTAACTGTATTGCTATATTAAAAAACTCATCAAAATAACAGAAATGTTTCTATGGTCAAAATAATTTTAATGATCTAGAATATGATAAATGCAATATTTAGAAAATGGAATATTAAAAGGAATGCAAATTTGGTTGCAACAAATTTTAGAAATGTCTCATTTTTTAAAATTTTTATTGTAATACATGATCCTTGCAATGGAAAATATCTCAAAGCCTGGTGATTCATGTACAGAGCCCCCTAGTGGCAGGTTTGTTTTATTCATAAAGTCCTGTAGAGTACCGGTACTTAAAGTGGGAGGCTCATCACCTGCGCACACGTGGGAATTGAGTCCCAAACGACGATAACAACAAACGCAAATGCAAAGGCTCATGGGTAGACGCTTGTTTGTAAACAATGACATGCTGTGGCCATCTGACGCATGCGCAGGTGACAAATCCCTTGCTTAAATTGTTGCTGAAAGTAATAGGGATTTTTCTGATGAGGGAAAATAGTCAAAAATAAACGTCTTACAGTATAATACAATGCTTGGTCTATCAACTATAGCAAAGTTTGATTCTACGTAACAAACATTAAACTTACTTCAATCTTGTGTTCATTATACAAAGGTAATGCTATAACAGTCATGTTTTCATTGAGTATATTTCTAAGTTCTTGCACAAACCAACCATAATATGGCACTACTTTACAGCCAGGAGTATGTAAAGCTCTTTCAACAGCCTCACGATAGTCTTTAGCATCTTCCCTCATTATTTCCCTCAATGCTCTCACAGATTCCTTCTCTGATTCTGGCATTTGTAGCCAAAGTGGTTTCAGCCAGTCCAGTCTATTAAGTAACCAATTTGAAACAAAACATTTTTTATACAATGAAACGCATTAATTTTAAATGGTAATTTGATATTTAAGTTTTTTGAGATGCACAGAATTGAAAAAAATGGATTTCACATGTTCATAATGAGTCTGAGTGTAATCTAAGTCAACAACATTCATGCCAAATTGCAAATCAATTTGACGAGCGGTTGTAAAAAAATCATTTTTAACCATAAATGACAAAAATATTCCCAAGCTCAGCCTCTTGGCTGAGATAGCAACAAGAATTCAAAAATAAAAAAATATTCATCAAAAATTGGATAACTGAAGATATCATCACAAAATAAATAAATCTGAGAGAGGTCTACCTGAGGTACCGGTACCTATATATATGTAGGATCAAAGCAATTGGACTTGCGGTTTTCAACAAGAAGTCAAAAAAATCACTTTTTACCAAAAATTACAAAAATATTCATCAAAATCAGAGAATTAAAGATATCATCATGGAATATACAAATCTATAAGAGATCTGCCCGAGGTATATATACGCTAAAGTATCAAAGCAATAAGAATTGCAGTTTTCAAGAAGACGAAAAAGTAAAAAGTTGACACAGATGATGCCAGACAATCACTCACAAGATAAGCTCCGCTCGACAAAGTCAACAGCGGAGCTACAAATAGAGGTTTACATGTGATGTCATGATTATCAGAGGATCATTCCAGGTAGGTGTGGTATGAATAGCAAGGCAATCCACCTGACAGTTTCGGAGAAGAAGTCTATTGAATGAAAAAAGTTGAGAGACTATATCTGACGGACGGGTGACAGGTGTGGTCAACCCATGAGCTCTACTCAGTCATCTTCGATAACAGCAGAGATAAAAATTGTCTAGACCTTAGTGAAAACAAAATCCAGTGAATAATTAATGCATTTACAGTTAATAAACAACATTGACTAGCACATGAGAACTACACAGCGTCATCAATGATAAAACAGAGAAATATCAAGGATTCCAAAAATGGGACAATTTGAAAAAAAAAAACGTGAAACTAACTAATGTAGAAAAAAAAGATGGCCAGAAGCCAATACCTGTAATACATGGTTCATTTTATTTGACAACTGAAATAGTTCATTAAGTTCAGAGGTTAATCTGGCATACAGTTATTAAATGCAATTAAACATGTACAACATGTCATGGTACTTATGTCATTAGTAACGCACTGTGATGAGAGTTAACACTAACCTCAGCCCAGATATTATTTCCATAACAGCGTTGAAGTTGCCAATATTCCAACATGCATTGGCTATCCGTATTAACTTTGAAATGACTGTTTTCTTATCTTCTGTACTTGGTGCACATAGTACTGTATTTGTTACCCACAAACTAACCTATATAAAAAAAAAAAACATAACAAAAATAAAAATACTACAAAATTTGGTTTGGTGCTAAATCGGACAAATACAGTTAATGGTTTTCAGTCTGCCATTTTGAATGAGATCATAGAAATGAACGACATGCATAGATATGTATAAGTAGACAATAGTTTATTGTGTTAATGTTCCAAGTTGAATGAGCTTGATGAATGCAATATCATGCACATACCATATTTGCTCTATTAGTAGTGCATCAAAATACACCGACAGAGGAGACAAAATAAATCATATTTGAAATATCCATCTTACAATAACTTGAAATTAAATTTTTGAATTATGCGTATCTAGTAGGAAAAATACTATAGAAGAAAATACACTAAAAAATGACACTTTTATATACAGTAATGGTAAGTTCTTTGTTATTCTACAAAATGGATAAATTTCCTATTGGCTACTGATCTTGATACAAATTGTGAACAAATATTGAAAAAAAAAAATGAGGTTTTGTGTGAAATGCATACAAAGAAGTAAACTGCATGTACAATTAAAGTATGCACTTGCATTCAAGTTGAAGGTGGATATTTAATATTACATAGAAATTGGATTTTGCAGTTGTTTGTTTTAAAGATAGTAACAATGTTATCGCATGTATGTAGGTGATTTTGCACTGAACTTATAATCTAAGGAAACATCAGTCTGAATCTGATATTGATATTTTCTTTGAGTGTGAAAGTAAACCTTTGTTCGCATTCACAAAATAAAACATGTGCATCATATTTTTTTCCAAAATTTCCATCAAGATCTTTAGCCAAAAGGCAATTATTCCAATTCGGTTCAAAATTATTTCAAAAAGTTATACCGAGTAATAGAAAAATTCGTAAAAAAAATTATAGAAAATAAAGAGAAATGTTGGCATTTGAAGTATTAAAATAATAGGATATGTTGATTGAACAGTTTCATTATCAAGAATCATTCAAAAACCTAAGCTATACTTTAAACTCCATTTACAGGTATACAGGAAATCTTTTAATAAGAGAGAGTTCTTGAAATTCTTTCATGATAATAAGTCATTAATAAAATATTCGGACAGCTAATCAGATGGTCACAACATTTTTGCATATTTTTAAAATGCATCACAGACTTGAAATGCCAAGAGAGTGTTCACCATGTTAGGCCAACCATGTTCTACTCAAATTTGTTTCCAAAATCGACATGGGTAGATGGCCTCATTTTTATTCTGAAATTGTTATTAAATTTGTGATTTTTCATGAAAACTGATTTTTTTTACATCAATCTGAAGTTCTAGCATGCACAAGAGGATAGTCATCATTCGAACTCAGGCAAGTATTGAAAAAATGTGGAAAGTTAAAAAGACCATCAAATAAAGGACAAAGACCTATATTTAAATAGGGAAACTTGTTTCCATGGAAACAATGACTTTTTTATTTCAGAATAATATTACATGTACTATATTAATATATTTGAATTTAAAATTAATAATTAATTCAAAAATTAGTTTTAGTACTTGGTAATATTTTTAAAATACTTTCAAATAGTCAGTCACAGGAAATATTATACTGTAAAGGGGGTAATTATTCACTGTGTTTTAATTTAGCTTATTTCGCTGACTGGAAAAATGCGCTAAATTAAAACACAGTGAATATGTAAAATTTAGCATAGAACACATTATCTAAATGACGAAACCGTGAATTTAAAACCCACTGAATATGCCTGAAATGGTAAATCAGTGAAATTTAAACCCAGTGAAAATTAGTCATTTTACAGTAACAACATTTCACGTCATTGCTTTTCAGACCATCTAGATGGCTTTTCAGACTCTCAACATGAGTAAACCCCATAGCAATGGTTGAAGGCATAGTGACATGAATTGATGCCCCAATATGAGCATACTAAGAGGTTACAGTAAGAATGCCGTAAAATAGCCATAAAAACAGTAAAGTACAGAGGTTAATGCAACGCTGTAATGCTTGGGTGCATACTTTGCGATATTCTTTTGATAACATTGTTATTATACATATTTCCCTGCTTATGAGATATAAATATGTCAGTGAAGAATAATGTAAATGTCATGTACATTTTCTGCAGCAGTCAATATCCAAACTGTATTATATAAATTTGATTAACAGTACTCGAAAAAATTTAACATTATTCAAAGACAACGTTTTATGACTAGACAGTCAAATTTCAGGCATTTTGGAAAGAATGAGTACTGAACCCGAAAATAGAAGTACTACAAAATTGGGTTTGGTGCTTAGCCGAGCATAGGCGCTTAGTCGGATGTGTACAATAAATGGTTTTCAGTCGGACATTTTAATGAGATCAACATATATATATATATATGTATATGTAGACAATAATGTACTGTCTTAATGCTTTAAGTTGAATGAGCTTGATGAATGTATCTTCCAAAGGGTGGCCTAGATCAGAAACATGTCTGGAATCCACTACAACTAATAATCTCAGAATTTTCATGGTAGGTCTTTTCATGACATGACATCTCAAAGCTGCATGTGATTAATAAGAAATGTATGTATATAATATAATACCTCATTAAATCTGTCTACCAATGTTTGTACTGTTGGGCTTATATCAGTCCTGGCAACCCCTTTACGTGTTACATCAGTGGTTACATGTCTGATGTAGTAGACGGCAGGTATACTATTGAACAAGTCATACTCAGTATTTGTAAGCAGAGAGGCCACTTCTTCCGGGAAATGAAGAAGTTTCTCACATTGTTGTAAATCTTGAGCATATGTCTTGGAATGCTTGGATTTCTGGTTGTTTTTATCCTCTTCTGAAATTGAAATTGATAAGGAATTAAAGTTATAAAAGTTTAAGCTTTTTTAAATATTTTTGTGTCAGGCAATAGATAAATTTACTTTTTTCTGGTTGTTTTTATCCTCTTCTGAAATTGAAATTGATAAGGAATTAAAGTTATAAAAGTTTAAGCTTTTTAAATATTTTTGTGTCAAGCAATAGATAAATTTACTTTTTACTGGTTGTTTTTATCCTCTTCTGAAATTGAAATTGATAAGGAATTAAAGTTATAAAAGTTCAAGCTTTTTTAAATATTTTTGTGCCAGGCAATAGTTAAATTTACTTTTAAATTTCCTGTTTGTCTTTTCTCAATTATATTTACAAGTAGTGAATTTTTGAGAAACCACCTTTCTATTATAATGGCAGTATGACAAGTTGACGTTTTACCAAGAGCATTTATAGAACTTTATTGGGGTCTTGGAATTATTATGAGACCTATTTGGTGGTGAAAATTCACCAGAATTCTGCTTTCTTTCAAAGTACTGTGATAATTCAGTTTTTTAGAGAATTATTGTAAGTGAATCAAGGCACAGTGAAATACTTAGTACTAATTAAAAAAAATTAACACACAATCAAATGAAAAGGCACAACGATCGCCAGCATTCACACATGCTGAAAAGCACGGAAATTTGAACATTTAATAGATATACATGTATCTCACAATTCACAAGTAACCAATAAATTTCTATAAATGCACTCAGAATGTAACTTTATATAAGCTTTGAAAAATGACATTGCATTAATGCAAAAGTTGACAGCTGTAAAAATTAAATGCTCCACAGAATGATACTCATATTTTGACATACCTTTTGAAGAGCTGTCATATTTTCCTTTGTTAGTAGACCTCATCGTGTCCCTCAGCGTTGTTGTAATGGCTTTCAGAGATGATGCTGATGGTGTCTGTAACGTCCATTGATTTGTGCGAAATTGTAACACTAAACAGTCTCTTGATCTGCCTCCTCCAGCATCATCAACACGCCAATCAAGCAATTCATTCATAGATATGCTACTGGACAATGTTTTTTTATTGTTATCTAACAATGATATGATTCCTGAGTTGATACAGAGTAACCTCTGAGCCTGCAAGACAAAACATGACAATAATTGTAAAGGTGGGTGAAGTACAGATTTTACTCGCAGCGGTAGAATCTTGAATTGTCTTTCTTCAGTACCGGATACATTTGCATCCTTGTTCCAGGATTGAATTAAACAAAAATTTCGGGATCAGCAATTTTTAAATTTTTTGATTGTTATTTTTGTTAATTTATGACTTTTTTGTTTTATTTGTTGTTATTTGGATTTTTTTTTTAATATTGTATCTTGGTCACCCTAACTAGTTATATGGATGAAGTGAGCTTGAACCCATAATGATTCAATTTATTGATATGCAAATTAGGATATCGATATGCATGATTCAGATTCATACCAAAAGCTCTTCAGATATTGCAAATATCCAATAAATTCATATAATCTGATTATGTGAATATACTAATATACTAAGAAAAGTACAGAAAAATTAACAGTTTAAATGTTTTTTTCAATTTGTAGAAGAAACATTATGTACACAACAGAGTAAATACTATGTTAAGTAAATTAAACATGTACTGTGTGTGATTCAAACCAATGCTCAATTTGCCAAGTTACATGTTGCATCTTACCCTTGACCACAGGGCATCTACATACCGAAGAACTATGCTTATTACACACACACAGAAATCTGCTCATGGCAATCAAGCCACACAGAGTAGAGCCTCATATTGGGCAAAGGCTAAATCTGGCTATACAAATGATGAAAATTAAACAGTAAATAATTAACCTATTCATCTCTTTTAAACACAAATTAGTCGCTGTCAAAACAGTCAATTTTTAAAATTGACTCAAATTTTGTCTGTTGGCTCTAAAGTTCATTTCCTGGAATAATGTCGGCTGAGATAGCACCGCTGTTAGCAATGCACATTTCAATTAAAGAACTGAATATATCATTAGGAATTGAACAATATGTATAGTATCAAAGCAATCAGACTTGCTGTTTTCAACAAGAATTCAAAAATATCACTTTTCATCAAAATTGACAAAAATATTTATCAAAATTAGATAATTAAAGATATCATCATGAAATGAACAAATCTGAGAAAGTACATATATATGTAATATCAAAGCAATTGGACTTGCGTTTTTTAACAAGAAGTCGAAAATATCACTTTTTACCAAAAATGACAAAAATATCCTTGAAAATTAGAGATTTGAAGATATCATAACAAAATGAACAAATCTGTGAGAGGTCTGCCCAAGGTACATATACACCAAGTATCAAAGCAATAACAATTGTAGTTTTCAAGAAGGAGACGAAAATGTAAAAAGTTGGCACACACGACGAAGGACAATCACTCGTATGATAAGCTCCGCTCGACTAAGTCGACTGCAGGGCTAAAAAGTGCAGAAATATTTGGGGCCAGAAAGTCTAGTGGTGAAAAGATTAATTCTGTGAAAGAATAGACCATTTTCTGTTCACTGCGAGAATCACGCGTTATGCGTGAAAACGAACGTAAAAACAGGACAAACAAAGGTCATAGCGTCGTAGTGGCGTCAAACATCGCGTGGGATTCGACAAACGCGAAGTATTTTGGGGGACATTTCCATGCTTAATAATGTGCTGTCCACATTTGATGATAGGCAATTTTGATTAAGTAAGGGTATTCGGAAGCAATATTCCTCTGTCGAAGATCGGCCGGTCGATGTGAGTTACGAAATAAAGAAATTCTAGTTCAAAATCAAATCGTTCGATTTTTGCGGCAGACGTTCGATGCGCGTTTTTCATACATCACGCGAGATCTCGCAATTGTACGGAAAATCCTCTATTGTAAACTCAAAGTAAGTGTGAACTTTACTTGTGATTTAAATCTTGGCTGCACATGTGTTTTTAACATGAAATGATCAGACATTTCATTTCCTAATTAGGTGAGTATAAAGAGTCTGATTTAAATTTAATAATGTCTACAAATTGTTTATTTAGCCTGCTGTGTATTGATACAAGTTGAAAGACCAGGGATTGAAGTTCACTTTTCTGACAGTACCCAATAATTCAAAGCATACACTAGACATTTTTTTAAGACTACGTAATTGAAATTGTTAAGGGAATATCTAACCACAAGTATTTGCTCTATTAGTTGTACATGAATTTGCGTTTAATGTCAACGGTCATAGAAGTCTTGTTATATTCGGTATCCAGCAATTAATGTTTTTTTTTTTGTTGCTTCTTTTGATATTGCATTTTGGTGCCAGGTGATATTTCGAACATTGAAGTCACTGCTATTTCTCCTGTCTTTTTTGTCTTAGGTGCTAATTGCAAGTTATTGTTTGCAAACCAGTCTCACAAACCTAATACTGCGTGTATGGAAGGCAGGAAAGACTGTACTGAGATTTAAACTGCTGAGTGCACAGTCGGCTTCGGAAATTGTTTCAAAAGATTCCCTGGTGTACAGCGAACACGCTAACCACTGCACCATTGCCCTTGTTATTGGTGAGCACAACTCCTATTGGAACTGTGCTAATATTGTCTATATACAGAATCGTAGTTTCCGCTGGTGGCTCTTAGCAATTTAACAGCACTCATGAATTTTGCAAAAGTCGCTGACACTTCATGGTGTAGGCCCAAGTAAAATTTCCGCTACAAAAGTTCATGATTTTTATTTACTCAACAAATTTTGCAAGAATTCGTTTGTTCCAAAATCTGATGTGAATCTGCAGAAATATGTACATTGTAATTATCATTTATGCATGCAAAACTTCCGATTTTAATAAAAAAAATGCTTTTTTGATGGTTCCCTAAATAACTAATACAGCTTAACATGCAGAAAAACAAACGGTAGTGCACAATATTTTGCTGAGTAATGACAAGAATAAACCAAGAAAGTAGAAAGGATAACCTTGCTTGTTCCCTTGGTAACACAAATTGTGATTCTCCCATTCGGAAAACCAAATTTTTTAGCTAATTTACAATTATATTATATAATTAAAATCAAGGGCTTAACTTATTGCCTGTACACTTTTTTTACAGCGTTGTATACATTTCGGTTTTCAACCTGGATATCTGTTACGTAAGTCTGTCATATGATTAGACTTAAAACAGGATACCCAAGTGTGATTATTTTCATTGATTGCTAGCAATTTAGTGGTTATTACGGTGTGATAAGAAACAAATGCAGTTCTGATAAAAAGTATATAGACTTTGAAAATAAACAGACAGTTACTGGCTTACATAGAACCACATCATATTTGTATGTACGGAACAGATTCAATAAACATTCAAATTCCAACAAAGTGCAATGCTGGATGCTGGATATGTATAGAAGGAGAGATTCTCTTAGGACCAGCAAAAATATGTTTCTGGACAATTCGTTTTCAGAAATCAATGTGTTCACATGTCTTTTATAATTTTTATTTTAATAATCATTATAAAATTTCCATGAAAATTTAATTTTTCTTCTTTTTTTCAAAAATTCTGACAAAACACACAGAAGTAAAATTTGTGGCCTGCACATTTTTAACTGATATGGGTGATGATGAAGAAAAAAAGGATTAATGTTTTGGGGCTGATGGTGATCTTTCTCAAGCTGCCCTAAATTTACCAGACATCAATTACAAACAAGACCACAAAATGCATAGATAAAGTGGTATGTTTGCCTTGGTAATGCAGGATTTTGATGTTTCAGCATGTTAATTAAGGTTTTTAATCATTCAATCAATCCTTGCATATTAATTAGCAAATTTGAATATTATAACATTTTATAAACGTGTACAGCTGTTATGCCACCCATAACATATTGCCATAACAGATGCCATTAATCTTTCTATACACCCAGATTAATTATTCAATTATAAATGAAATAAAAGGATATCAGCCATTCCTTTAACAGAACTGTTGTACAGAATCTGTCTGGGAAACTCATAAAAGCAGTATGATAAATTATAGTTTGGAAGTTGGAGATAAAAACCATAACAAATAAACTTTAGAATGAATTTCATGATTGTGTGCCGTGCCTTTAAGATATTTTATTCCTAACAGAGGGTCAATTCATTTGACCTGGTTAAGCAACTGGATCTGTTCTGGGTGATTGCACTGACAGGGAGAAAAAGAAATACAGTCTAACTATATACAGGCAACTATACAGATTTGAGAAAAGTTCAAGCAAGGCGTGATACATTTAAACATGTTATTTTTTACCATGTGCCAGCGGAACCAAAAAAAAGGTTATCATGTTTCTCAGCGAGTTGATTTAACTGGTAAACAATAGTCTGTATCAATAAATGTAGAATACAGAGTAATTAGATAATTTGAATATTATTTGATTTTGGCATGTCTTCCTGAAAAAGTTTACAAACACATACAACTAGAACCAATTATGCATATTAATTAGATAATTTGCATATTATTTGATTTTGACATGTCTTCCTGAAAAAGTTTACAAACTAGAACCAATTATGCATATTAATTATATAATTTGAATATTATTTGATTTTGACATGTCTTCCTGAAGAAGTTTACAAACACATAACAACTAGAACCAATTATGCATATTAATTATATAATTTACATATTATTTGATTTTGAC